GAAATATGTGCGAAAATGTTGCCTGATTGCGATAATATAAAAATTTCAGAACGATTTTTCTAGCACGCCTAATATATTCGCAAGAGTTTTCCACGTCAAATACTTTCGCACTATTGGACTGGCAACTAAGTGATTGCGGATTTTGTCATTGCCACCTATTGNTGTCAATGCCACCTATTGACAAAATCCGCAACCACTTAGTTGCCAAGCCAATATAACCGTGGAATATCTTGGTATTTGCACGCCGATACTTTCTTCTGTCCACTGTTTTCCAAAGACTTCCGGTATGAGAACAGCGACGCGCGCTATCTATTTCGACGCCTCTGCAGCTTGCGGTTTTCTCATCGGCGAAAGTTCCGACCTCGAATCGATAGGTCGAAGTTCGAGGCGGCACCAGCCAGCCAGCCGTTCGCTCTAATTTTCTGCTCGTTACAAGTTCTCAAATGACCACGCCGATTAGTATTCTGCGAACGAACGGGCCAATAGATCGAGTACACTGTCGTCCAAAAGGAAACTGTACACTTTGGTCTATCAGAGCAGCGTCTAATGAACTTTTCCCATTTTGTTGGGGAAAATTGTACGCAAGATCGGATGGAAAACGCGCACGAGATAATCCAGAAATATAACGTAAATCGATAATAAATCAAAGAAGTTTCATTTTACACGCTTATTACGGCGATGCTAAATTTGCATATCGATGAGATAAAAGTACTCGTTCATTTTCCTATGAAGAATTAAATCTATCCGAGGGAAAAGCTTGGATATTTTGATTTTGCAATCGTCTGTGACAAACGCGTCACTTTCACTTCGCAAGACAAATCGTTTTTCAATAGAAACGTAGCATACAATGTCAGTGCGTTTAAGGCCATTTGAAAAATTGTTGGAAACTTCGTCTCTATTGCAAGTAAATTTTACACATACGTCGATTAATATTATATAATAGTATAATAAATAAAATAATATTAATAATAATAGATAAAACTCGGCCAAATCCACTTAGTCCCTTAACAGACAGACGATCGACATTTTTCATTCCACTGGTCTGTGGCAGTTGAAAAAATCCAACGCATAAGGCCACAAACCCTTTTTATTTGAATATCTAACATCTATATATTTTTCTATCATGTACAATATATTAGGTTGTCCGGAAAGTATCTTTCTTTCGCAAACGTGTTTTTTACAACAGTGCACCTGCGTACAAACGTGAAACCAAGTGTGTGGAATGTCACGGTGTTTATCTCAACAAAACAAAATGCATTATACGTAATTCAAGAAAGTAATATAAAAGAAAAAACGTTGTGCTTCTATTATTTCCTGATAAAAACGAAAGAAACTTTTCGGACAACCTAAGACCTTTACTACCAGCCTTTCCATTAATTATTTATGCAAAAATTCCTTTCAAATTAAATTTACATGTTCTCAGTGCGAACAAAATTAATGTAGGTTATACAGTTTTTTAACACGCAGATTTAAAATAATAAATATATAGTTAAATATAATTATAAACAAATGAAGCTCATTTGCTGTCTTGTTAATATTTGTTATGATACTTTTCCACATAATAATGCGAGTCGTCAGCTATTTGTTAGAATATGCACGCATTACCGTTGCTTTGTTTTCGCAAACATGACAATTCTTATCATTTTCGCAAACATGACAATTCTCATCTCTACAAATGAACATTTTGATTCTTATTCATTTTACATAAATAGAAAATTAAAATCTGTTATAGCTCCGAATAAAGATGAAAAATGACATTAATTGTACTGAAAATTCATCAAAACTTATATGTCAGAAATCTTTAAGTCCTGCATGTTTGAATGGGTTTAAAATAAGGGTATTTCAAAGGATATTTTGTTTATCGCATAACAATTTTTATGTGATAAACATAAAATAAATAATATGACAAGACACAGTGATGATTTAAAACATTTCGTTCTAAAAACATCGACAGATTTTCTTCATCTAGTAAACATTACTAAACAAAATTTTAAGACTAAGCAATAAAATATACGTACATATGCAATGATATTGCCTGATATTGCGAGTAATACAATCTTGTTGTAATCTGCGAGATGTTGTTACTTAGTTGTGTGCAATACGTGTAAATGTAATTAAATGTTTACAAGTGTATTGGGAGTCCTCGCGTGGATGATGCGAACAAAATATGTAAAAATATACATAAAAACAATATATACAGGGTGGTAACAAGTGGTACAAGCGGAAAGGGGGTGATTCTACGTGAAAAAAGAAGTCGAAAATATAGAATAAAAATTTTTCGTTCGAGGCTTTGTTTTCGAGAAAATCGACTTTGAATTTTCGCTCGGTACGCGTGCGGTACGTTATAACGGATCTCACTGTAGATCGTCGTCTCGATGGAAAAATTAAAAAAAAAGTAAAAAAACTTTTATTCTATATTTTCGATTTCTTTTTTCGCGTAGAATCACCCCCTTTCAGCTTGTACCACCACTTACCAACCACCCTGTATATAATAGTATGCACTTCCTACGTTCCCTATAGCGTTTGTCGCTTTTGCTAATCTTTTCATCGCATACTAATTAAAAAAAAACAATTTATGAAACAATATATTACAAAAATAATTTAAATATTTACTATGATAGTCTGCGATAATTGTAATAAAGTCACCTCGAATCTTCCGATCTGTTCTAATTTTCTAATTAATCCATTTCTGTCACCATCCCTGCCAAAAATCAGTTAGTAAACGAGCGTATAGTTTTGAATGACAGTGTACACAGAGGAGGAGGGCAAAAGAAAGATTGCCACATCGACGTTGGTCACTCGATCCAGTTCGACTCGGCACCGAAAGGGAATTCTCGAGAAACCGACCTCGTGCGATTTGGTCAAAACCTCGGGGCATCGAAACGAGCAGACAGGATCTCCAACAGGACGTTTCATACTGGAATTTCGTAATATCCTCCGCTTAAATGTCCGCTGACTTTCTCCACGGACCAATTCGACGGAAAATATTCCGCGAGATAATCTCGTCGGTAAGAGGCTGCAACGCGCGAATTGCCTGTCGAATAATTAATCGCGCAGCCTGCTCAATCGACCGATTACGCGATTAGACGAGTTTTCTCGTCGACATTCTCGATCGGCCATCGATCGCGCTTTAATTAACTGTTGAAGCCCAGTTGCGCTCGCGAAGGCCGGCCGCTCGCTACGGCGTCACTCGCCACTGCTTTTCCCGCGATATCCAACGATACGAACGAGTATCGCGACGAAAAGTTGGGAAATTTATATGATTGTCCGAAAATGGTTTCTTTCGTTTCATAAGCAAATAATAGACGTACAATGTTTTTTCTTTTATATTAGTTTATTGAATTGTGCACAATCATAATAATAGAAATAAAAAGAAATGGATCAAACCTAATTCGATAAAATAATATAAAACAGAAATTGTCGTTCATCTATTGTCATCTTATGAAACGAAAGAAACTTTTCATATGCCTTTGCCGAGCAAACGCCTTTCATATGCACCGATTAATTGTCCTGAAGAAGCTAGCACGTCGGGAAAGGATCTTTTGCGATTGCAGGTTGACTAGATGTTACAGGTCAATTTTCTAATCTTTTCTGCAAAGTATTTTATTATTTTGACAAATTCTACCGAGGCGAAGAAAATGATCCTGCAAGTCGCAGAGAAGCTTACGTTAAATGCAGACATGCAGGCGTGTAACTGTTACGAGACAAAAGAAGGTCCTCTCTGTTTGCCCAAATATTTTCCACTCCTACTTTAACCCTTTGCACTCGGAATTTTATTTCAATTTTGTTACCAGCAGCTCGCAACGCTTTTAAGTGTTTTATTTGAAATTTACTTGAACTAAAAAATAAGACAATTTAAATAAATAAAGTGTTACGTCCCGAGGCTTACTATAGGCCGTGTTCCTAACCGTCTCCCTTGGTACTACAGTGTTGCAGACAGATCGTCTTACATGGCCGGCGAAATATACACAATATAGCGATAAGCGCATAGTTGTGGTGAAGCAGCTAGTTCCGAAAAACATCGATTCGCCTTCGGCCGTTATTTTACCTACACAAAGAAGATGGCATACGTGATCATAGGCGCGAACGGTTGCGAGACCCGAGCGTGGTGGGGGTCGTCTCCAAGAGAAGACAAAGGAAAAAATCGAAGGGCAGTCAGTATTACATGAGGATTCAAACCGAATGCATCGACAGGTTCAGAGAAATAAAATCAAGGTCGCTTAGTCAAACGAATACGTCGAGAAATATCATAAAGTCGAGTCGAATTATAGTAATAAACTAGTTGTATCATCGTTAAATCATTTGCAACGTATTAATTATAATTTTAAATATTGTTAAAAATAGAAGCTTATATTAACCCTGTTAATTCAGTGTTACAACCATTTGAACTACCTCTGTTATCCTAATCGAAACAGAGGAACGGCTGGTTCACGGCGTCGACTATCAGAATCGCAGCGAGAATTTACGCCTCTCGCTGATGCGAACAGTCGTAACATAAAAGGAAAAAGAATACCAGTTTCATTCACACTATTGTTGTATTTTCTAATTTTTAAGTGTATGATATATCTTGAAACAATTTCCAGGATGCAATCCTGCTTTTCTTTCGCACGTTTCACAAAAAAAGGTGGGACTCGACAAAGGAGCTGCTGAGATGAAACTGATGTCGAGTGACACTCGACATACGAGTGCAGAGGGTTAAACCATCTTACATTAGGCAAGCGAGGAGTTTCAACAGGGAAAAATGCTGTCTTTCACCAAGATTTGATCGTCCAGTGATTTTTCTATCTCATTCGGAAGCGAGCTGAATCTAACGAGGTATGTTGCACAGGCACGTGCCATCCAACTCTCACTGTGATGTCTTTCGTCGCAGAAGCAGCGTCTGTTCTAGCGTTGTTGCGCAGCAATTTCACAGAATCTTCTCCTTTGCCAATGTCGCGACCTGTCTAATGACGCGAAATTCTTCCACGATATGGAATTCATTACTCGCCTGATAATAGATAGCTTCAAAGTTGTACAAAGCAACGATAATTTGATCGAGACACTCGCGATGCTTCTTAATAAATAACAAATTTCAATAAGGCAATGATTATTTGATATACAATATTTATCAGGTGAAACGAGTCTCTGGGTAGGTTGCTTAATTGTATTTATAAAGAAACAAAAATTTGCATAAACATGCGTACCCTAATTATAAGAAAACTAGATTACACCGTGTTGAATATTTTACCGCAGACCTGATTCATGAAAGGTTATGTTTAAAATTAGTAGATTAGTATCCCGTGACTCACGCACCTAACTGTAACGTACGATAACTATAAAAACAAGCGAACGCTATAACAAACAGTTCGTACAAATAAAATCATAATATTCTAAATTACAAATGTAAGAAACCGCTATAATTACACCTAATTAATTCGTATATAAATAAATAATGCAAATAATAAACGCAACAGTGCACAAGTGCTTTTTGCTGCCACTGTACACGCCTTTGATCGATCGTGTACATATTTGCCTGCATACCACAGCGAACTGATGCTACGATAAACAAAGATCTAGATGCAATTAATTGCTGTCAGGATACGTGGCTGTATCGCGTATTACGAGATTAAGTAGGAAAGAAATACGAAGGAGAAAAACACGCCAGTCGACTCGACAGTATACGGAGAAAAGGAGAGTTGATTGTACATTGTACAAGCATTCTCCGTGCTCGTAGTGAATCGTAGGATGTGCGAGACTGGAGGAGAGAGAAAAAGGCGATTCAAAGTGGGTAGGAGGTGTGCACACCTCTTACGAGTTTACGAGGCCTACGTCGAACTGAACGAACGGACAGTTACCTTTCCGTTTCGAGACCGCGAACATCTACCTCTCGTTATCGCCGCGAATAAATCGGTGATTGCTTCTCGGTGAGTTATATTGACCGATTTCTACCACCAAATTTTCTATCGGCTTTCCCTCCGTTACACACCGAGATACCAATATCCATCGGATCAGGCTACGTACATACAAGGTGTCCAGCGTAGCTAAAACAAGCTGCAGCTTTGAAGCGGTGCATGAGACGAAGATAGAACGAATTTCATTAAGCGAGATTAAACGCTATCTGGTGTATACGTTGGTTTTGTAAGTGACGGTATTTCCAGGATTTCGTAGCCAGATGTATAAAGCGTACATAGCGTTTGATACGCCAAGTATACGTAAATTAGGATACTTAGATTAGTAGGTTAAATTTGTATGTGAGAATGAACGTCATTCGATAGCGTTTGATGTTATTTAATGAGATTCGTTTTACATCTTGTGCTGCTTCAGTGTTATAGTGTCTATTTGGCAGAGTTGCGCCGGACACCCTGTATATACGCGTCAGCTTTTAATTCTGCCTGGAAACCACCGGCAGGATATCGAAATAACTTTTGAAACTTCGATTAAACCCGATCGTTATCTTGAACGATGGATATTCGGAAAACCGGGCTAAATAACGCGGCAGTAGACTCGTTTGCCGCTAGAACAATTTTAATGAGAAATTAGAGGCAACTTGAAGTGGTAATAGATAAAGCATACTCTAGCCACTCGTCTTATTTTCTAAGGGAAAAGAATTTTTTTGTTCGAACTATCGATAGTTAGTAGATGGTAGAATGTATTAGGTCGTCCGAAAAGTTTCTTTCGTTTTGGAATATTTTTTTTCTTATATTATTTTATCGAATTACGTATGATCCATTTTGTTCTATCAAAATAAAGATCACAACGTTGGACGGATTAGGTTTCATGTTTGTATAAAGATGCGTTGTTGTAAAAGACGTGTCTGTAGAAGAAAGACACTTTTCGGACAACCTAATAATACATGTTGCATTGGCAACTAAATGATCGCAGATTTTGTCAATACCACCTATTGACAAAATCCGCAATCACTTAGTTGCCAATTCAGTATATATTAAGTTCTACCATCTGCTAAGTGTCTACTAAATTCTACTATTACTTGAACTATATTTTCCCTCAGATTTAGGGACTAAATACGCGGATTTTGTCATTAGGTGGTATTGACAAAATTCGCAATCACTTAGTTGCCAACTCAATATATATTAAATTCTACCATCTGCTAAGTGTCTACTAAATTCTACTATTAATTGAACCATATTTTCCCTCCAATTTAGGGACTAAATACGCGGATTTTGTCATTAGGTGGTATTGACAAAATTCGCAATCACTTAGTTGCCAACTCAATATATATTAAATTCTACCATCTGCTAAGTGTCTACTAAATTCTACTATTAATTGAACCATATTTTCCCTCCAATTTAGGGACTAAATAAGCGCTCCAGAGATTTATTTGTTATTTGTCCTATACTTTTTTATTAATTGTATTATGTATATTAAATTACTTCTTGTAAAAATTCATTGTTAGATTACAAGAAATAATTTCTCTTCTTTCATCGAGTCTCGACTTTCCTATAGTTTGTTTCAATTTCCCTGCACTTTTCCCAATTCGATTTTGTCATCTAAATGGTAAATGGTAATACCACCTAATGGTAAAATCCGCAATCACTTAGTCACCAACCCAATTTGTATATATTCTACCATCTACTAAGTGTCTACTAAATTCTACTACTAATTGAACCATATTTTCCGCCAGATTTAGGGACTAAATACGCGCCAGAGATTTGTCATTTGTCCTATACTTTTTTATTAATTATATTATGTATATTAAATTACTTCTTGTAAAAATTCATTGTTAGATTACAAGAAATAATTTTTCTTCTTTCATCGAGTCTCGACTTTCTCATAATTTGTTTCAATTTCCCTGCACTTTTCCCAATTCGATTTTGTCATCTAAATGGTAAATGGTAATACCACCTAATGGTAAAATCCGCAATCATTTAGTCGCCAACCCAATTTGTATATATTCTACCATCTACTAAGTGTCTACTAAATTCTATTATTAATTGATCCATATTTTCCCTCCAATTTAGGGACTAAATAAGCGCTCCAGAGATTTATTTGTCATTTGTCCTATACTTTTTTATTAATTATATTATGTACATTAAATTACTTCTTGTAAAAATTCATTGTTAGATTACAAGAAATAATTTCTCTTCTTTCATCGAGTCTCGACTTTCCTATAATTTGTTTCAATTTCCCTGCACTTTTCCCAATTCGATTTTGTCATCTAAATGGTAAATGGTAATACCACCTAATGGTAAAATCCGCAATCATTTAGTCGCCAACCCAATTTGTATATATTCTACCATCTACTAAGTATCTACTAAATTCTACTATTAATTGAACCATATTTTCCCTCCAATTTAGGGACTAAATAAGCGCTCCAGAGATTTATTTGTCATTTGTCCTATACTTTTTTGTTAATTATATTATGTACATTAAATTACTTCTTGTAAAAATTCATTGTTAGATTACAAGAAATAATTTTTCTTCTTTCATCGAGTCTCGACTTTCTCATAATTTGTTTCAATTTCCCTGCACTTTTCCCAATTCGATTTTGTCATCTAAATGGTAAATGATAATACCACCTAATGGTAAAATCCGCAATCACTTAATCGTCAACCCAATTTGTATATATTCTACCATCTACTAAGTATCTACTAAATTCTACTATTAATTGAACCATATTTTCCCTCCAATTTAGGGACTAAATAAGCGCTCCAGAGATTTATTTGTCATTTGTCCTATACTTTTTTGTTAATTATATTATGTACATTAAATTACTTCTTGTAAAAATTCATTGTTAGATTACAAGAAATAATTTTTCTTCTTTCATCGAGTCTCGACTTTCTCATAATTTGTTTCAATTTCCCTGCACTTTTCCCAATTCGAATTTTACCAACTGCGAAACAAGTTACAGCGAAAGGAAGCTAAAGCGCTGCATACCGTACAACCTTGCCCTATGCTGTCGCTAATTTCGTTGGTGTTTGAGCGAGCGTTGCATTCGGCCAAATCAACGTAGGGTGAAACCCGCGAGAGTTTGCCGCTTTTACAACGAAACGCTCGATAAAAGCGTTGATTTTCATTCGTTTTGCAGGCGATATCGTTCCGCTTAGGTGAATGAAATGTTGCAACAGCAAGCCTCTCGCATAACAACCTAACGTTCAACGAGACGCGTTCCATCCTTCGACTGGCTACTTCCTACATCGATCATTATCTTTCGATAATAATTCGCAGCTCGTGAAATTTTCCAACTCGTACCTGTGCTATCTATAATTTGCTGTAATTAGTTCGCCCAACTATCTTCAACGAATCCAATTTCAAAAGAAAATAAATCCCATATGCAAATTCCATGCAAATGGGATCGCTTTCAAACTTGCTGCGTCAGCGAATCTTTCGTTAGCACATTTTTTTCAGATTCCTCGAGGAGAATCATGTGGATCCTTGCGTTTTTCTACGGGTTTCTAACCACGGCCCAGGCAATCTCTACCTCCTGGAGTCCGTCGTTCCCAACGCCAACTGCCAGCGCCCTGCACCAAGGCACCGTCGCTATCTTCGAAAATGCACACTCTCTTTACGACGCAGCGAGCTCGTCGTTGCTGGCACACCACGAAGAAGACAGATGTACACTGTATAAAATCGCTATGAAACAGCAACTCTACTTCGAGGTGAGGAAAATTCACTATTCGTCCTTTATCGACGCACACGGTGCGTCTCGTAGATCGTTCCGTTGACGCTTTTAATTTAATTTTAATTTTAATCAAATAATAAATTCGACCATAATCGCTTATTTAAAATCACGCTTTCCTCTCAGATTTCCTTTATCCGATTTATTCACGAATTTATGCAAAACTAAGTACACTGGTATCTTTGCGAAGATCGTAACGCATATTTGTGCATTGTACCGTGTTTCCCTTTCGAAATTGTCTGCTGAATTCTACAGGAAATTTATTTATTTATTTATTTATTTATCACAGTGTTTGCCTTGTTCTTTGGTTCACGTTTACCTTCTACTTCCAATCACAGAGCTTAACATTTTACGCGATCGAATCTGCAGTTTAAACTTGATTTTAGAATGTAAGCGCCTCTTACATTCCTCATTCTCTTATTACTTACATTCTCCTAAACCTTGAAAACATAAAATATCAAGCTCTGATGTAATAAATATAAAACGGAAAGATAATTAACACTAGAACTATCACACCAGTCAAATTGACTGGTTTTATAATTTTATTTTCAAATTCCTACTTCGTGTTATATTCTTTTCCGCAATGATGTAATGACTTTCGCAACGATAACTAAAAGAGTAATACAGGGTGGTTGGTAACTGATGGTACAAGCGGAAAGGGGGTGATTGTGCGCGAAAAAAGAAGTCGAAAATATAGAATGAAAATTTTTCTTTTTTTTATTTTTCCATCGAGACAACAAAGTGCACGCGTACCGAGCGAAAATTCAAAGTCGATTTTCTCGCAAACAAAGCCTCAAACGAAAAATTATTATTCTATATTTTCGGCTTCTTTTTTCGCGTAGAATTACCCCCCTT